GTGGGGCAGGGCTGGGGGGCGGCAGCGGGAGGTGGGGACCCCCCCAGGCCGGCCCTGGCCGCCCCTCACCCTGCCGCGGGGCGGCTGCCCACTCCCCAGGCTCCCCTGGGCGGCTGACGGAGCCTGAGAAACCCAAGAAGGGGAAGAAGGAAAAACCTCCCAAACCCACCAAGAAGCCCAAGGAGAGACCCCGGGGCTCTAAGAAGGACAAAGACCGGGACCAGGACCGGGACCGGGACAGGGGCAAGAACAAGGACAGGGGCAAGGACAAGGACAAGCCCCCCAAGAAGCCCAAGGACAAGCCCCCCAAAGGCTCCGAAAAAAACCCAAAAGGCTCCAAAAAGCCCAAAGAGAAGCCACCCAAGGCCACCAAAAAACCCTCCAGCAAAAAGCCAGAGCCACCGACCACCCCCCCGGAGCCCCCCACCACCCCGCAGCCCTCACGGGGCAAGGATGACACAGGGACACCCTGGTTCCCAGAGCAGCCTTCACCCTACGAGGAGGAGGAGGATGGAGGTGGCCGAGGTGAGCCTTTGGGGGCCCAATCTCACCACCAGCCGGGTTGGGGGGGACTTGCCACACCACGGTGTCACCCTGTGTCTGGCTCAGCTCCCCAGTGGCACCCCGTGGGGGTCCCGGCTGGGGTCACCCCCTCCGCCCCCACCAGCCTTCCTCCCCAATGGGATTTTCTTTCGTCTGGGGCTGCTGGGGGCTGCGGGGCTCCGCCAGCCCCTCGCTCTGTGTCCCTGTCCCCAGGGGAGTTGGAGGAGCCACCAAGGGAGCCCTGGGAGCTGGGCCGGGAGGACTATCGCCCTGAGCCCGAGCCTGGTGAGTGCCCTGTCCCCGGGGCCACCTCCCTGTGCCCCAATGCCACCTCCCTGCACCCCTTCCCCATGTGCCCCCTCCCCGCAGAGGTGCCCGAGGAGCCGGAGCCACCGACGCTGGACTACAATGAGCAGCTGGAGCGGGAGGACTACGAGGACTGTACGGTGCCAGGGGGCAGGCGAGGGGGACCACTGGGGTCCACCGGCCTGGAGGAAGGGAGGGAGGGGCTGTCCTCCCCCCCCCCCGCCTCACACCCCCAAAGTCAGTGCCACCCCCTCGTTCTGTCCCTAGTTGAGTACATCCGGCGGCAGCAGAAACCCCGCAAGCCCCCAAGCAGGAAGAAACCCGAGAGAGTCTGGCCCCAGCCCGAGGAGCCACGTAAGTGGGGTGACAGTGGGAAAATGGGGGGGCTGGCAGCACTCATGGTGGGGGGGACAGTCCCCAGCCTTGGGGACCCAGGGGGAGCATCATTTTGGGGCAGCCTGGAGCTGGGACGGGCATGGAGACTGCATGAGGGCTGCAGGGGACCCTATAGGGGTGTGGGGACCCCAGAAGGGCATAGGGATCTCCTGGGGGCATGGGGATCCCATGGGGATATAGAGGGATCCTATGGGGACCCCATAGGGACATAGGGGTCCTACAGAAGCACAGGGGACCCCATAAGGACATGGGGGTACCATAGGGGCATGCTGACTCCATGGGGCCATAGGGGACCCTGCAGAGACATGGGGTTCCCGTAGGGGCATGGGTGACCCTCAGGGGCACAGTAGAGGTGTGGGGATCCTATGGGGGCATGGGAAATCCCATAGGGACACAGGGATCCCACAAGAGCATGGGGGACCCCATAGGGACATGGGGGTACCCTGAGTCCATCCCCAGCACGGCCCCTTTCACCCTCCCCAGTGAAGCCGGAGGAGCCACCCCCACAGCCACCCCCGCTGCCCATCCCAGTGACCGAAGGGGACTATGAAGAGGGCTTCGAGCGACCCGACTACGATGACTGTGAGTGACAAGCCAGGGCGGGGGGGCAAGGCACCCCAGACCCCCCCTCCCTGGGGAGCCCTGCCTGGCCCCACGGGTAGCCATCTCCCCCCGCCGGACCCAGCTGGGCTCCGACTGGTGGCACCCACCCCTGCCCTCCCCCAGCCCTAAAGGGGTGTCCCAGCCCCCCCTCCCCTTTTGCACCCCGCAGTGGCGTACGGCCTGCCCCCCCC